GTAGAATTTGTAAAATTAAAACAGTTTAAACCATAATAATATTTTAACAATTCGGTTTAGAGGGCCGCACCAAAATAAGAAAATGGCCGCATGCGGCCCACGGGCCGCACTTTTGACATCCATGTTCTAAATCATGGTTCAGGCATTACATGTTATTCATGGATTTTTTTTGAATGAGAATTAGACGGCATTCTAAGATTCTAGTTCAAATAAAATATCAAAGAACATTTATATGGCCATGAGGTATTCACCTGAAATTTGTTGGACAGTGCAAATGCAACCGATTGCTTAATAGTTTGCTTGAAGTTTGAGCATACAAAACTTATGTGTATAAAATTTTGAGTGGAAAAATTAATAGCTTCTGTATTAATTATACATTGCACAGTTTGAGGGCAGAAGAGTTTTATGTACCGGCACTGGACTGGTGGAAGGTAAAAACGTTTATTCCAGAAATAAACTTGCAACAGTAATAAAATTATATAATTATAGGAGACCGTTGCTAAGATATTAAAAAAATAACTACTTGTGAGTTTCCTGAAGGTGTCCCAAAGAAGCATTAGCAAATTTGATGGCTATTTGCGCGGTGCATTGTTTATGACCATGTAGCTAAACTTGTGTTACTCTTTAACACATAATCATATTCATTAGGAGAGGAGCAAAAACGAAATTTTTTTTAAACGAATTCGTTCTTTTGAGCTCATGTTAGTCCTGTTTGAAGAAACGGATATATGTAATTGACCTTGAAGCATATTTTCATAAAGATTACCGAGAATGGAAACAAGTTCCTTAAAAGGCCAAGCTATCTATGATGAATTTTTCTAATCAGACACATAATCAAATGTCATGAGATACTTATAACAAAACCGTAAAATAGTACTAACGAAGGAGTATGTTTAATTCGACGTCAGTTTGTTAAACCTTAACACAACTTACACATCGAACTTTCATCAAATTTTCAATCAATCAAACAAAATGTATGAACAATAAATGTATGAAAGAAAAGACAAATTTGACAAGAGTTGTTAGGAGAAGTTTGAATGGAAAAATGTACAAGTAGTTTTCTCAACGAATATTTTGGTTGGAAGTAAGCAGTTACCACACCTTCAAATGATGTGGCCCTCAATTATAAATGTTCCAATATTTTAGGATGAATTTGGATTTTAAGATTTGACTTGTTAGATTTTTGGTGAAAAGATCCATAATTATTACGATTTTTGTCGCAAACTTTTAAAATTATAAAAATAATAAAAATTTCTTTTTTGTACGAGTAATTTACATGAATTGCTTAAAATGAAATTAAGAAAATTTTTGTATAATAAGTACACAAAAAAAAAAAAAATTTATTGTTAGTTTATGACGAAAGGAAGTTGCAAGTTAGTTGCTATTATTTATTATTGTTGAAATTGTTGTATATAATTTAGAGGTTTAAGAGGTTTTATTTATAAAGATAACTATACTTTTCATTTTAATATTCTATTGTTTTCCTCGTAGATTTCATTTTTTCTTTTCTTATGGAATCGTAATAATACGCTGTACTAAATTAGTTTGTATTCAATAGAAATTAAATTTTCTAAAGAAGATAAAGAAGAAGCATAATATAAGAAAGAAAAATAGTCCGACAAATGATAAAAAAAAAAATAAATTCCTATTTTTTATTGTCTGTGAATAATGAAATTTTCTTTGCATTTTTTTTTATAACCAAATAGACTTACTTATATTGTGGAACGGTATAATAAAAATGCTCACCGAAGTGTAATATCAAAATGTTATTAAGATTTGCAGGAGACCACAATTAAACTGTTGTTCAGATTAAAATGTTTGCTGTTCAATTTTGATTGTATTTCAAAGTGGAGATTAAAATTGCATCGTCGATTAGAAGAATTTTGGAATACATTTCTTAGTTAAAAGCGACTCTCTTATATAAATACTAAAATATCTTAATGTTACCCCATCCAACTTCTTTTAAATTTCCAAGTATTTTTCAAGTTTCATTCAAATGAATAGGTAATAAAAGTTTTCTAGTTTTTTTTTTCTATATTTTTAATATTTATTTTAGAATTAACATTTTTAAAGAAGAAGAAGAAAATATGGATCATAAGGTTTAAACTATATTTAGAGGGAAATTATTATGTGAGGCAAAAGATAGAGAAGAAAAGAATAAAATTCTTTTATTATAATGCATAAAGAATTATAATATCGTAAGTCGTTTTTTTCTTCTCAATTCTTTGCGGTTTGAAAAACCAAAAAAAAAAAATTTAAAATATGTTATACATTTTTATTTTGTACTTACATACATACATAAATATTTTCAAATGAATTATTTTTCTCGTGGATTATATTATTGTTACAAGAGTTGAATAACATTCTTGTTCACAGTTGAATGGAACTCATTGAAATTTCTTGAACTCGTATATAATAATACTGTATTTGTAGGTATATAACACTTAATATTATACACGAATGCGTGGGAATTTCTTTAGATTTTGATTTTCTAATAAATATAACAATAAAACAGAACTTTATGTATATATAGAGAAAGCACATCAAAATTTAGCAAGAGTTGTCTACAAATAACATGAGGGGAGGTTAAACAGTTAAACAGATCAAAAATCATATTTGAAACATTATTTTCAAGAAATTTTTGGAAAAATTCAAAATTTTCGATGATTCAAAAATCAAAATGTTGAATATTGAAAACCTATCATCTGTAAATTTCATTTAGTTTTCGAAATAATAATTTTAACTCGGGTTAAAAAAGCTAATTTATTTCAAACTTGTAGAAGACCTCTACTATATTTTGTTTGAAACGCTTCAGTTTAAAATTTACGTACGGACCAATGAAGTAATTTAATTAACCAATAGAAACTATCGAAAAAAAAATATATTTATAAATCGTATAGTTTTAATTTTGATTAAATAAATAAATCGTATGAGCTATAGCAAACTATTTAATAAATCTGTCCACTATTAAGTAATAACACAACGCACTATAGAAGTTGTATAAAATTGTAGACATATGGCAATTCTCACGCACGATATATATATCTGAGTTCATATACGATCGATTTTCCAATAATCGAAATTAATCGTAATTTTATTTTCTCCGGTCAGTATGTCATAATATATAAGTATGTAAGAATAGCATATTTAATTATGCATATATAATGTATGTACATATAGATGAAAACGACTAATGATCAATCATTTCATTACTCATTCATTAGTGTTTTCACTTAATTTAACTTAATAAAAAATACCAAACACAAAAAAAAAACAATAAAATCAAAGTTTTCATTTTCAATTTCAAATTGTACTTCAAACTTAAATGTCAAACTTTTTAATTTATGATTGAGAATTAAAAGAAACGATGTGAGCGCTGAAAATGTCAATGTTTTATCTGTGCACAAATATGTATAGTAATCCATATTGTGTATGTATGTACGTATCTAAATATGTACCTACTTGTATCAAATTTAATAATGAATGTTTACAATGGCATTAAAGTAAAGTAAAGGTAAGAAATGTCATCGCGTGTATTAATAAAATTTGAAAAAAAAAAACAGATGGCAAAATATAAAAAAATTAAATTTTTATTATAATTTATGCTTTTTTTCCTCAAATACTTGTATATTAGTCGCAAGAAACTGAATTTTTTTCTTGGTTTTTAATAAAAAAAAAAAAACAAAAATTTGATTTTGATTGACAGACGTCTTTCTTTTACATGCACAAACGATAATTTATTATGAATTTTTTTTTTCAAAGTCAATTTGATTTGATGGCAGAAGAAAAAGTTGACCTCAAAACAAAAATGGTACGTGTAATATAGAAAATGTAAAAATTATAATATACGCCCATACGTACATTATATATGTACATACATAAGTAGTTATAAACTTATATCACAATAACTTTCTTTTAAAATGAAATAATAACAATATTATAATTGAAAACATACGACTAATGCACACATATGGAATCACATATAGCTTGTATTGCATATTATGTAAAATACCTATACATACATACATAAAGCCTTGTATGTATGGATATGTATATACATACTTACTTATAAATATTTATTTTGAAAATATTTTTAAATTTCTGAACATTTTCTTTTTTTTGTTTAAATTGAAATTTATTTATAATGTCTGGAAAATTGTGTCATTGGGAATATTTTTTTTTTAATAATAACGTGCTAGAAATCTTAATAAGAAACAGATATGAACAAAAACAAAAAAAAAAATTCTTAATTGAAAAATACATAAATGTTTTGGCGTTAAGTGCTTTATTGTTTTCTCTTTTCTTTTGAATTAATATTATTAAGTGTATTTTGTAATTTTTGGGTAGAAATAGGCTATAAATATAAAAAAATATTGTATTTTTTTGAATTTCAAATCAAATGAGGTAAACATTAATGTTTAAAATGTTAAAAGTAATGTTAATAGGAAAAAATATTTCAATATATTACTCATCACAAATTTTGTATACATTATGTACTTAATTCTAATGGAAAATTCAAATGCGAGGAGCAGAAAGGAGATCTAAAATCTGTGATCAAAATATGGACAATCCAAAGAAATGTGTGTATTCAAACAAAATGAACGCGTCAGATGAGTAGATAAGTTCGTTAAGTTTTTAATGTTACCATTTTGTATGTCGAGAATCGAAACATCAATTCGATTGTATTCGTATTACTTATTATATATTGAAGCATTTCTTATATAATATAATGTTCAGTTGATCTAAAATTTTAAGATATATGGAAGCGTCTATTTTCGTCAGTATGACAAAATCAAATACCATATTATGTCAAAACATACTTACGAAATAGTAATGATCAAAATATTTTGTCATGTTTTATTATAAAAACTAATGGTACTTGAAAATATTCGAATACTTTCGAAAATCAGTTTGAAATTCGAAAACTTAATATGTAAATAATTTATATTATAATTATTAACTACAATAGTAAAATAATTTAAATTTTATTTTTTATTTCAGAAAAATCATTATTTTTACGGGCGCATTGCATTATTTGCAAAATTTATTCAAAATTTGATTTAAAAAGGAAGAGAGGAACAAGGTAAATTTATTAAATCTTTTAAGTATTTTTGCTTAAATTTCTATATTATATAAATTATACATAATTATACATATTGAGAGGAAAATATGAATATGCAAATTTTCAAAAAGATAAAACAGCTAGATACGAGAGGAAATTATTATTGAGCATTTTTTAAAAACAAAATACATATAAAACTTCAAATGAGCAAATATCCTTATTTTTCTCTTTTTTATCATACCAGAATAACATTAACATTTCCAATTGAGGAAATTACATGTAATTAATTATTCCGCTCTCTTTTTTTTCTAATTTAATTATAATTCTTGTTTTTGTATTTAAATTTATACTGTTAAAATTATTTCATACTTATATAACATAATTATGTATTTTGTAATTAACATGTAAATTTCATAATATGTAAATTTCATTAGTGCAATTTTAATGTAATTTGCCGATGCCGCCTTTTATCATTTTAACGCACTTATCTGTTCATTTGTCGGATCATTATCATCTCTATTTTCAATTCCAATAAAAATATGGGAAAAACAGCGATAGAAATAACAAGTATATAGAAAATATTGAGAATAATAAAATGCTGCATTAAATATAATATGAAGAATTTATCACTTATGTTAAATTTAATAATTTTTCATTATATATTCATATTTAATAAGTGCTTGTTTAGTATTCTAAACCTAGACCAATATACACATATACAATATTTTTTTTTTGCATAATATCACAATTAAATTGCAGTAAATTTTTTTTTTGTTTTAGAAAGAAAAATTTATTATGCCACACATAACATTTGTGTGTAAGAAAGAATTTTTTTTATTTAAAATTATTATTGGCGGTACTTTTTGAAGTAAATGAAAATAATTTTGTTGTTTTTTTTGTATCTAATAATTTTTAAAAATATTTTGTCTATGTGCGTGCATATGTATGTATATATACTGAAATATTAAATATGCACACTCGTTTATTCATTTATATAAAATTGTAATTTCATTGCAGTAATTGAGAACAATAATGGATTCGCATTTAACACTAAGCGTCCAGTTTAATTTCGGTCCAGTAATTCTGTTCAGTTAAATTATAGGTGTATATGTACAGATATATATATGTATAGGTTAACAGCTATTAGTATAGATTATAGTTTACAATGTTAATTATAACATTGATTAATTATTTTTACATTCATTCAATTAAATAATTCAAATTAAATAAAATTATTTTTAAAAATTATTCAAAATATTAGGATTGTTCGTTGATATTTCTTTGTAAAAAACCCCAAAAAAAGAAATTAAATTTAAGATATGAGAGAAAAGGGATTAATTCTCTATAAAAAGAGAAAATATTTTCTCATTTTGAAGAAAAAAAAGTACCCGAACAAATTTTTTTGTACACTTTAAAATGCATTTACATAATTTACATGATATAGAAGCAATTTCGTATGATTGGTTTATAGAAACCAATATTTTGAAAATACGAGTACGATATTTGATATAGCTGCCGACTCTGTCAACAAGTTTTAGAATATAAGTAAATTCAATAGAAGATAGGGTTAATGATATTGACCTTTTGCAATATATCTTTGGGAATTATATATTTTAGGCTTGGAAAATTTAATAAAAGAATTTTCATGCTCCTCTTTTGTAACCATATATTTTATGTTATTCCACACACACGCACATATTCTTTCAGATTAATTTGAGAATTTTACAGTAATATTTTTGGGCAATATTCTAAATATACGTATGTGTGTATATTAAATTTTATTACATTATAATGCTCTTACAATATTATATATCTTGTAAATATAATTTACAATATTGTACACGATCACTTTATATACTTTACATTATTCTCCCTAGTATTATCAAAAAGACATGGTATTTATAACATTTTACCATATGGTTTACTCTGTTGATGATGACATGCCCCTTTTGTTTATAAAGGGGTTTCAAGTCAATTTATAATTTTTGCCTTGCTGTTTTTTTTGTTATTTTTTGGAAAATTAATGATTAGAAATACAATTTTTTATCACTATGACAAATTTTATGATTATAGAGAAGATGCTGATAAAGTACAATCAACTCACATCTTTTACAATATAAAATCAAATAAAATTTAAGATTTTTAATGGAAAATTTTTTTTTAAATTATTTTATTGTTGTTTTTAAGACATTTTTCAAATTTAAATTATGTAGTAAGTACCCTATATTACATTATGTATATTGCGTGTATCTTAATGTTTTATATTTAGAATTTGGGATGAAAAATTTCGGAGAAAACTTCCATATGTTATGCGCTTATATTTTAAGAAATTTCAGATGAAATTTAACCAAAAAAAAAATAATGAAATATTGTTTTTCTTTTTTAATATTGGCTTGATTTTCTTGTTTTTCATTGAGTACGTGTATTAATTTCCCACAAATATTTTCCTTATTTTTTTTTTTTGTGGAAAATTAAAAATTGTCATTGTGTCTCTTTTTATAATAAAACAATAATTTAAGTGTACCCAATATATTTTGTGGTTTCCCTTTTATTTATTGTGTAAATACTTGTATAAAATTCCATATTTTTTTCTATTTTAATTTATAAATTGCAGGAAACAAAATATTATTTTTTAAAGGGTTTATTTTTATAATATTTTGTACTTAATTTTATTTTTTTTTTCTTAATTTTTCCTAAACTTAATATTCTTAATTAAGTTGAAGTTACTTATAGTTCTAGTTTTCTTATAGCCACAAAAGTATGCACTATAAAAATATTCTTATGATCTACTTTAAATCTCTAGTAAATATGAGCATAAAGTATGAACTTCCTCATTGTTCTCTTTTACTTTGATATATGTTTATTACAATGTATATATAGTTAAAATCTAATATACTGACATAAAATAATTTACTAAAGATTATAAAATGTATAATTTTTGAGTAGTACACATAAGTACTTGTAAAATTTAGTTTTTCATGGGAAAATTAGAAAATTTTTCATTCTTTTTATATATTAGTTTGTATATAATTCTATATATGTACTCGTAGATATATATGTGGTTATGAATATATATTCTCGCATATTAAATTTTGAAAAATTTTAAGAAAAAAAATAAAAATCATTTTTTAAAGAAAAATTTTTTTTTTCCCATTTAGCGTGAGCGTGTGAATTTTTTAATTATGAGAACTTGAAAATTTTTTTTTATCTCTATACATTAAACATGAAAAAAAAATATTATTAAAATTTTTGTGAGTGCTCAGAATGTATTCAAGTATGGCATAGAGAAAATGTTAAGATTCTTAAAGAGAATTTCACACAATTCTTTTTAATAGTTTTTTTTTTTTTTATAATTTCTCTTTGATTGTTTTCTTAGATTTTTAGTTTTAATGAAGTTTGTTGTTTGTTGGCTTTTTCACGAGAAAATTATAATTTTTTTTCAAAATATGTTATAATGAACATGAATTTACAATATAAATATTAGTAATAAATACACCAGTCATTTTGATTGAGCTTCGAATTTGTGTGCCAGCGTTCGAATTTCAAACAATTCGAATACTCTCAGTGCTAACTGTGTACTCAATTCATTCAATGAGGCTTGAATTTTTTCTCTTTTATATCATTTTTTCAACACAATTCAACTCAAATTCTATTCTCTATACATATTTTATAATTTTGTGTTGCCTTTCTTAATATTGACATCGTTTGTCATATTAATGGCAACACTTGTTTCAAACCAATCCTACAAACTATATAATAATATCAAAATTTGATTTTGTTTTCCATAATATACGGTTTGCAAGTTACAATATTGGTACTATTACACGTTTTTTAAAATAATGAGTAAAAAATGACTGCAATTTAAAAAACCATTGAATAAAAGAAATTTGATTAAAAAATTATGTGGGTTTTTGGAGTAGTGTTGCCATAATTATGATAAAGCAGTACTAATTTAGTGGATGGATCTGATTGAATATTTGATTTGCTCATTCTCTCCATAAAAAGAAATTTATTTTTGAATTCACAATATAAAAGAATCTGAAAAAATAAACCAACATGATTATACCAATTAATCATTAATTTAAAAATGATTTTAAACCATTTATACAATGCGTGTACTTAATATTTATTAAATTTTATAAAATTATTTATAATTTTAAAAATGCAAAATATTTAAGTATATATTATGAAACGCATAAATTCAAAATTATTATCATGCACTTCATCTGTTCATTTTAAATACCTCTGTATTAATATATAGCTCTATAAACATCCCCTTATATTAAATAGAATCGGAAGTAGAAATTGTTACTTTCTCACAAAATAAATATTATTATTATTATTGTAAAAAGAATTAAAATTTCCCTTTTCATATTTTAATATAAAAGAATGGAAAAAAAATAATAATCAAAATATCAGGAAATGAAATTATTTTACATTTTATGCCATGTGGATGCCAGTACTTATATACAAAAATATTCATGCATTATAAAAAAATACCAAATTAAATTAAATGCAATTCATGTTCTATCAATACCCATATTTAAAAAGAATATAAAAAAAATTTAACAATTAAATTAACAAACAAAATCAAATATGATTAAATAAAATCCAAAGTTGTAATTTAATTAAATTCCGAATGAACGCTTTTATATAAAATGAAGTTCCAATGTACTAGATGATCATTTGTATGATTAAAGTTTGATGATTTCAGGGAATGATAAAATTTACTATTGTGTTAAATATTGTAGATTTGCTATTTAAAGCACATACATATATTATGTACAATGGCGCAATATTATGTACAACATGATATAAATTTAATTTGTATAACATCTGAATTGTAATTAGATCAACTCGTCTTTCAAAAATTGAGAACTTTAAGTGTGTTATTAATACATATCTATGATTTGGAAAATTCGTTTTTTCTCGGTTTTCTTCGGTTTTTGTAAAAATTCTCTTAAATTTATTGATTTGAACATATTTTAAGCAATAAGATTCCTTTTAAACCCCCAAACAAA